TCTGCTGCTTTTTCGAGTCACAGACTCACAGTTGGCATTTAAATTTCTTGTATCGAATCTAGTATGGTTTTAATCGTTTTCATGTTAAATACATATTGTATGTTCTTGAAAACATTAGTACGTGTTTGGTTTAAAGGTTGGTTTGAGCTCGATTGTGATTTGGAAACATTTACCAAACTAGTTTGGTTATACGTTAGTTATGGAAAATTACTGTTTCTACTAATTACATTGATTCATATTATCTTTTGTTGTACCTCACTTTATTTTCAAACCAAACACGTATTACTCAGAATTTCCTCAGGTTGACTTGAATTGTTTAATTAGTCATCCACATGTGTCGCTAGTACTTGAACTTGTAACTTAATTTGTAAACTCAATTCCTTTTATATGGTCAACTAGTTGAATTATCAATTATTAACGACGTGGATAGGAATATATTAATAGTGATCTACGAATCCATTACTAAAACTTCAAAAACTTCAGATTTAAATCTAAAGATTTCAAATAGTTGAATTTCCAAGAATGATAAGATTTGATCTTCCAATCGTGGATCTTTAACTCATCGGTCAGTACTTTCCAGAGAAAATAACAATAATTTTGTTTATTTAAGAACAAGGTGATTAGTTATTAGAGAGAAAAAAAAAATACTATTATTTCCTTTTGCATTTAATTTTAATTTTGCTTGAGGTTTTGTTAATTATTGTATTTGATTATTTCTTGGAACGTTCCTCTTCATTCGAAAGTATAAATGGAAGTATCAAATCAAGAAAACAAAAATGAAAGAGATAGAGATGAGAACGAAGACTTCTTCAAAATTTGGTCAGTTTCTCATTGTGCTTTTGCTTCTTTGCACCTTCCTTTGGCGTACCGAATCTGCTCTTCCTTCTGTTCCAAAGTCACTCCTAATAGCCGGTTTGTGTTTCCCCACACACACACAAACATATTTACATTTTCTTTTAATTTTCTTAAACCCATCGGTTAAAGATTCCTTGATGAACCTCAAAAATATGTATATATGACCATCATTAGTCACACGAACCACATGAGATGATGGAGAATTAATTGATGGAGAAGTTCATGAGATGCGGTCTACTCACATGAATTATATCTCAGTTCGAG